GATCTGTTTTGTGATTAGTAAAAAATCAGAATTTCTGATTTTGTGAGTTTCAATGATTTTGGTGAGAAGAAGAAAAAAAAACGATGGATGCCAAACACATGTGAGGATGGCCAAAAAAGAAGAAACCCTAAACACATTAACAATAAAAATAAATTTATACAATTATTTTCATGTTATTTCATTGTTTATATCTAATTATTTATTTATTTATTTTATTTGTAGAAGTTGATATAATTTACTTTTATATTCCTGTTTTTCCTTCTTGTATTTCATGTTTAGTAAACTGTTTATAATTCATATTATAATAAATAAATAAATAACAAAATATTTACATCAATTTACAATATTAATGTTTAACTTTTTTATTATTATACATTATAAATTGATAAAATCTATGTATATGTACTTACGTTATCTTAGTCTTATACGATATAAATTTATGATATTAATTCTAAATTAACTAAGTAATTATTTTATTAATTAATCTTCAATATTTTTCTATTTAAATATCAAATAGTTAATCAATTAATAAAATTAAATCAAAATTTATTCATTAATGCTACAAGTAATAACGCTATTGTATAGCGATTTTACCTTTATGAGTTATAAATTATTAAAACATATGTATAATAACATGATTTTATGTTTTATGTATTATCTATATTTAAAAATTAAGTCTTATTTCTTAAATTAATAAATTTTAAAACTATTTTATTCAATTAAATTTTTTTATATAAAATATTCCTCTCTTAAATTTTTAAATAATATAAAAAATTTATTCTAAAAGTAAATTAAGATTCATTTCCACTTAAATTATTAAAGTATATTTCTTTTTTTATTTTATTTTATGAATTAATCTAAATATATTATCTTAATTCATATTCTACTATCCAATGTAATTTATCTATCAATTAAATTAAAATTAATACACTTAATTAATGCAACATCTATAATGTTAATGTGTAGTGTTTCTATCGTTATCAAATAATTCATGAGAGTGGGAGCTACTTTGTTTGGGCAAAATATTTTTGAAAATAATTTTTTCCTCCTTAGTATAATATCAAGCAATACTTTTATTATTGTTTAAAGGTTAAATAAATATTTTTAAAGTTATAATGAAGTTGGACAATTAATTTAAAATAATCGTTATTTAAATGAATGTGGTAAGGTGTTAATACTTTTCTTACATGTAAATAACTCTCAAACCCATCTTTGGTTTTATAGATCATATTATTTTAAAAGTTTCTAAAATTTTATTTGATAAACTTAAGTGACAATTTCTTTGATTTTAAAAAAAATATTAACTCTTAATGTATATTCTTTAAAGACACCTTCATTGTTCTTTCATGACCTACGTTATGATAGATTTCAATAAATTAAAAAATAAAATAAAATACTATCATTCCCAAAAAAAATATTTCCATTAGAGGAGTAGAAATATAATCTTTTGATAAAAGTAGAAATTCTTTTATATAATAAAAATACAATTATATGCATTAGTTCTGAATTCTAAACCTATTTTATGTAATCTCTATATTTTATTATCATCTATTCATAATTTTTATTATTTTTTAAATAATTATTGCCTCACATATAATATTTAATTTATTATTATTATTATTATTATTATTATTTATAAATATTACATTTCTATGAATGATACATATTTTTTAATTATTTTTAATTATCGTTTTTAAAAGGTTGATACTATACAAAACCTTAAAGTGCTAAATTTTAGGAATCAAATATGTCGATTCCAGAAAAAATGAGAATCAATTTACACTGCTATTATTCCTTGATCTCCTATTGTTGTCTTTACACTCGTAATTATGACTCTATCCCCAACAAATCACATTGGAAAGTGGCAAATGGTCATTTTGCCCTAAGAGCACCAATGCCTACAAATACTAGGAAATCTTTCAATAGGTAGGAGGGTTATTTGGATTGTTGGTGCATATTTATTGCATTGGAGATGAATTGATGAAGATGAAAAATACTAAAAAACTTTAGCAGATATGTTTGTGAGACCTATAAAATAAACTTACAGTGACTATTTATAAAGTAACTAATCAAGGGAGAAAGGTAGATACAAAGTAATAAATAGAAAACAAATTTGATTCGTAAAAAGTGGAGTTTTGATGTAAATAAAATAATTTGAAACCCATTTTATGTATATGCCTTTCTTTTAATTTGTTTATAGGAGTATCCTAATTTTATAAAATAAAAACCTTTAATTAACTTTCTAACATTTTTTCATTCGCCTTACATAGAAAAAGTCGACTCTAATTAATTTATGTTCTATTTTTAAATGCATCCTATAAAGAAGTTGGCTTCAATCAACTTCTGTCTTAAAGATACTAGTTTAAAACTTAATAAGTCTATGAGAAGTAAATTCTCACAATTTCAATTAAAAAATCTATTTTTATTCCACTTTTAGCATTTTCACATTAGAAGCCACATGCAATGGCCAACTATATTAATACAAGCCAAAAGTAATGCAAAGATTGGAATCTCTACCTTCTAATTGCACATCAACAAAGGAAGACAAACATAAAGCCTCATCAATCCTTGACTTAAAATGTGAGTGTCCAGTATATTAATTAAATATAGGTAAAATGTGTTGAATAATGTTAAATTAAATTTAATAATAAACAATCATATAAAATAATTAGAGTTCAAAGTACATAAAAATAAAAGTCTTACACCATCATGTTTTAATACTTAATAAAAGTCTAACATACATATCCATGATAATGACTATGGACCATACCTATTGTTTCTAAGGCTAGCAATGTCTAAACATGGGTCTTGTCATAAATGAAAGGAGGTGTAATATTCCTTCATGCAAGATATTTAAATAGCTACAAAAGTCAAATTAATTCGTCTCCAAATGACACTAAAGTTAATTATAATAGACTTTTTTAACAATAGCAAAGGTAATAAAAGTCGACTTCAGCAATGGTAGAATGATGACTAATAGCGCCATAGTGGGGCACAAAAAAAATCAATTTTAATCGACTTATTCTCTAATAAAATGTCAATTTTAGTCTAGTTCTTTATAATTAAAACCAAGACATTTATGTAAATTAAAACCATTAAAAATACATGTGTAATATTTGAATTTGTTTTTATTTATGTAAAAAATGCTAAAAATAAAATATCAACCTTTCTAAAATGATATCTAAAAAGAAATAATAAAAAATTATTATCATTCCTAAAAATGTATTATTTAAAATAATAATAATAAAATAAGTGTTATATTAAGTGAGGTAATATTTATTTAAAAGTAAAAAAATTAGTATAGCACAATATGATGTGAAAAAAAATAAAAAAAATTCGGAAAAAGAAGTCCTTAAAAGCAAGCACAATTTTTATTATTTCGCTGGTGGCCGGGTACCCAAAGGAAGTGGATAATGACAACTTTGCTGACAGGTTGAATCTGGCCCTAATTGCGGTTCAGATTCGTAGGACTTAGGAAAGACCAACTTTGCGTACAAATTTAAAACAGCGTCATTGAACGTGTAAACACGATAATTTTATTTTATTGGAATGCGCGCAATATGTTGTCTGAAATAGTAGGATTGAATTTCGTGGATCTTATTTAAAGGGAAAGCTGTGTTTTTTTTTTTTTTTTTTTTTTTAATATAAGTAGTTTATTTTTAAAAAAATTATAGTTTAGCATCCTTTATACGTGTCAAATGAACAGAGATAAGAAAAAAAATAGTAGAGAAAAATAAAAAATATGATTGATGAAATAGTATATTATATGCTTATTAATTTTTAAACAAAATTTTAGAACGAGAGATTTAATTTGAATAATGAAAAATTTTAAAATTTTAAATAAAAATAATTAAAATTTAAAAAAATTATACCTAAATTAAATTTTACAGACTAAAATACAAGTATATTAATTATTTTTTTGTTATATATGATTTGATGTATTATTAACATTATTGAAATAAATATTAAAATAATACAGTTATGAAAATTTTTCAGTATTCAATTTCGAAACTCAGTTTATTAAGTTTACATAATTTTATGGATAAAAATTAATTAATAAATACAAAATAATGAAACAATTTACAAATATAATATTTATGATATAAATTAAATATGACATATAATTTTAATTTCACAACGTATATTTCATATATGTGAATAATTATTATTAAAACAAAAAATTCACCTGAATAATTGCATATAAAAAAATCATTTAAAAAATAAAAATTGACAAAAAAATGGAAATTGGCTAGAAAATATAATATAAAAGAATAAAAAAAGGTGAAATATATTGGCTAAAAAATTTAAATGGACCAAACATAAAGAAAAATGTTATATAATTAAATAGAAAAAGGGTCAAAAAGGTGAGTTGAAAAGGAAACTTAAATTTTAGTATTTATAATTCAATTTTTCTGATGTTGAATATACAATAATAATTAATAAATAAAAAAATTACTAATGCATTATATTTTTTTAATATCTTATATACCCTAACCACACGTTAAGAAACTGTATATTAATTTATTTGAAGGTAATTAATATAATTTATTTCATGTGATTAAAAAATATATCTAATAGTTTCAAATAAAAAAATGTTTTTATATAATAAATTTAATCCTTCTTTTTAACGGTAGAATAAATCAGATAAGTGGATCTTACTAATTGGTGTTCTTAGATAATTAATTAATAAATTAGAGAAAGTGTATTAAAAATATTTGCAAACAATTTCTTTTTACTATTAATTTCTCCGTCACTATCCTAATGGTATGTGTTAGTATTTTTCATTAAATACATTTTTTAAATAAATTTAAACAATTTTTTATATTACTAAAATTTCTAAATCTTTTAACATCAATTAAAACAATCTTTTGATTAATATTTAACACGAATTAACGATTTTTTTTTTTTCTAAATCTTGTTTTTTGTTTGCGAATAATTTTTAACCCCATTCTTGCATTTAATTTTCAGATATTTAGGAGTTAGTTGTTCCCGGGAGCAATATACTAGTCTTTTGTTAAAAAACTTCTGACCGGAGCATCATTATATTATCCTTATCATATAAGAAACGCACAAAAGGAAGGTTGAGATTGCTGAGAGTTTGGGAGAAGAGCGAAAGAAAAATGGCGTCTTGGAATTCAGTTCCTTTGAACGTAACCTACGAATTTCTGGGTTGGTTCGCTTTCGTTTCTTGGTCCGTCAGTTTCTACCCTCAAGTCATCTTGAATTTTCGCAGGAAGAGGTTCCACCTTCCTTTTCTCTCATCTCATCATCTTCTTCCTCTTTTATTCTCTCTCTATTGTGTTTCATTTTCAATATTTTTATTTTATTTTTTAATTTAGTGTGGTTGGGCTCAACTTCGACTTCGTGCTGTTGAATCTGACCAAGCACAGTTCCTATCTCATATACAACGCTTTTCTCTACTTCAGCTCTGCTATTCAGAAGCAATACTTCGACAAATACGGTTACGAAGAGGTTCCTTCTCAAACTAACTTGGAATCACTGCTCAATTAAGTCAAAACGATGCTAAACTTTTTATGTTATGCTATGCCATCATGTTGAAAGGGAAATCCAAATTTTTGCGTTTGTATATATACATTACCCAGTAAAAATACTCTTTTTATGTAAGAATTTAAAGAATAAATCTTAGCCATTGAATCATTCTATTGATGGTCAAGATTGATGATTGACATTTTAAAAAGTCACGTGACTTTCAAAATTGATCATGTGACTGATAAATATAATTGGTTCATACTAAGAAAACAAATAAATACTTCTCTTCATGGAACAGATAAATATAATGAGTCTCCCTCTTTTTTTTTTTTTTTTTTCTTATAATTTCTGTGCAGAATAGGGAATTTGGAATTTCTGAGTGGTAAGTAATGTATGAATATAATTATGAACATTTGCAGTTTCCTAATGTAGTTTTAATTTCATCTATTTCAGATGATACCTGTGGCAGCAAATGATGTTGCTTTCTCGATCCATGCTGTTCTGCTGACGGCAATTACATTGTTTCAGATTGCAATCTATGAAGTGAGAATGATATGTCTTCTCGTGGAGATTGTTGTTTTTTTTGTTCTATGAACTGAATTATCAATTTTGTTGAACTTAGTTATTATTTCATTGTAGCGTGGGAGTCAGAAAGTGTCCAAAATTTCTGTTGGAATTGTCTCTGTTGCTTGGCTTACGGCAGCGGTTTGTTTCTTTGTTGCTTTGTCAAATCATTCCTGGCTTTGGCTTCTCTCCATCTTCAAGTATGTATTTTCTGCTTGTGTGGTTAATTGCTTTTATTTCATGCTTTCTGATCTTCAATTTAATTCGACAGAATATATGTATGGATGTGCTTTTAGTCTTGTATCAGATGTAGTTTGTTTTACTGCTGGTTGATTCTTAATCAGTTTGTGGTACCAGTCTATGGAGCTTTCATGTGGTACTTCCCAATTCTTTCTTAAGATCATTTGAATTAATATCTAACTGGCATGCTATTTGCGCAACAGGAGAAAGCTTGTTTCTCATTTTCCAAAAATTTAGGAGATAATGTGCTGGATCACAGCAAATATTTTCTGCTTGTTCTGTATGTAGGGAGTCAGGTGCATGTGACATTGATGCTCTGACTCAAAAATTTAAGTTCTAATATGAGAGCCCTTATTGATCTCATATAGGCCCGCGGCAGAGTATTACCTATCATTTCAGAACTTCCTATTATTTACTATTTTGAGACCTAACTATCTGGTGGATAATTGCATTCTTTCCTATGTTGGGCTTCTTACCACTATGGACCCAGCTTATTGTGTTATTATATTATGTGTAATCAGAAAATATCAGGTTTCCTTATTCTGCGGATGTGATTTAGTTTTCTTCTAACTTTTTGTTTAAATTGATTCTGTTGCAGCTCAATTCAAGTAGTTATGACTATTGTAAAGTATATTCCTCAGGTTAGAATTTTTTTTAAATATAATCATGGCTTCTTTTTCTCTGTAGATGATTATTGACATACCATTATTTTAAACTAAGATTTCTCCGAAGAAATTATTTTATTGTTCAGTGCTCCTAAATGCTGATGGAACTATTTCCGTGTTTTCTTAAGTCCATAAATTCATTACTATTTAAACTTAAGACCTTTCTTCTGAGAGAAAAAAACTAATTATTAAATATAGAAACATATAAGTCAGATGGAATGAGCAAAAGTGGGAACTCAATTCTTTCTCTCCATTCACTGTATCCTCTAATAGTTTGAAGTATTCCTAAAGTAGCATTGGTTGAAGTACCATTTTTCTATCATTGACACTGTGCTAGTGATATAAAATTTTTGTCTTCAAACATATATATACCAGGCAACTGCTTTGCGAATGTGAGCTATAATACTATCCTAGTCCATTACATTACAGTTGCAAACATAACTGGTGTACAATAGTAAAATATTCAAACTTAAAATGACTGTTATAAAGTATCTCATTCTTTATGTTAGTTGATGATGTGGGCCTTATTTGTCGTTTTGAGTTTATTTTACCAATAGCAAAGAGAATTGTACGTTGTTTTTTCTAATTTGTCGATGGACTAGACTTATTTCGCATCTTCTTGCTGTCCATTTAATCACTTGTGTGGTGAATGTAGGCAATCATGAACTTCGTAAGAAAAAGTACTGATGGCTTCAGCATTGGTAACATTCTACTTGATTTTTCTGGAGGGATAGCAAACTATGGACAGATGGTTGTGCAATCAATAGATCAAAGTTAGTCATCTACTCATCTCTTTACTGATATTTCTTGCCATTCAATTATATATTTTCACATTAACATATTTTAAATCCCATCTTTCCAGATTCGTGGATCAACTTCTATGGTAATATAGGAAAAGTTTTGCTATCTCTGGTATGGAAAACTCTCAAGGATTATTTTGCTTCATTCTTAGTTATTTCTTACTTTCATTTTCAATATGTTTTACATGCAGTTGTTCTAGTACTGATTCTGGTATTATTTCCATATTATTATTCTTTGGGTTGAGAAAATAATTTTTTTTTTATATAAGAGCTATGCCTTACTACTCAAACCGAATAGACGCATACACTGAGAATCCAATTTGCATTTTGCACAGTTGTGGGATGGAGCATGTTAAATTATATTTGTCTATTTGATACGTTAGTCACCCGTTCTTAAGGCTGTTGTGAAATAGTTTTGTTTGGAATACACAACTGCAGGTATCTGTATTCTTTGACATTATATTCATTATTCAACATTATGTTCTGTATCGTGGTCAAAAATCCTCCAAAGCGGTAAATACTACAGAACATGAAGATCAAATCAGAGAGCACCTTGTCAGACCTTCTGATCAATTACCACAAGAGAATGTGTAAGATAGGAACTTCATAATGTATGTTGAACTTCCCATTGATTGATATTATTATCAAGATCAAATTAGGATGTTTTTCTTATCCTATACATCAGGAGCACCATTTTGGTTGGAGCTTCAATAAACTTCGTTGTATAAGTTTTAAGAATTATAGTGGTACATTCTTTATACTAATTTGTATCAGAACTTTATATATGATCAAAATGACTATCATTCTATTATCAAGCTACTGAATTCCCTACTAGGTGGCTGTCGCAAGAGATCAGATTAAAACAGAGATGTACCAAGTATAAAGCTGTTTGAAATTTTCCACTATATTCCTCTGCTAGTGCGCGTTGAATCAAAGGCAACCTCTATTTTATGGTACATGCCCCCACTTAAATCGAACGTTTTCTGCAGAAGTATGTGCAAATTTGTTACCTGGACTTTCTGGCAAGGAAAAATACATGACTTGCATTTTTAATTTTTGACCATTTTTTAAATAATATACATATTAAGAAAGAAGAAAATATATTGTTTAAATTTAAAAAAAAAATGATTTTGACCATATTAAGAAACAATATAAATAAAAGTAAAATTAATAATATTATTATTATATATATATATATATATATATCGTGATTGTTTAGAATGTATTAAATATTGTTTTTTTTTTTTTACCGTTAATTTAGTAAAAACAGGTCGTTGGTCAATTTGAAACTGTAGTGAATTACACATCTAAATTGATAAAAGTAATATTAATTCCAATGGAGCAGGATAGTAAATAAAAACTATTACTATTAAATATATGAATGTGTAAAAAGCAAAAAAGGATCACCGAAAGATTAAGCATAAACATGGTCTATACATAATGTAAATCTATGTTTCCATCCGTTATTTAAAATGAGATATAAGGCGAACAGCAATTTAATTGCAATTAACATAGTAGCATAATAAATAACCCATCACACCTAATTTTGGATTAAACTTGCATGTTATATGTTTGTATTGTTTACTTATTAAAGTTAGAGTTTATTTTAATAAAAAAATTGTAGTTAATATTATTACAAACTAGTTATGTGAATATTAATTAAAAATTCATACTAAAATCACTAATGGTGTCAGGCTTGTAATCTATTATTAAGTAATCTATAATATTTTATACTTGTTAAATGTTAATTGAAGAATTTTTGGTATTGAAATAGATTTAGATGGAGTTTGAAATTATTTAAAAAAAAAGTGAACAGTAACATACCATGATATCATCAGTGACGTGACCCTGACGTCACATACGCGTACAGTATGCGTGCACAGTATTTTTAGTATGAATAGTGTCTTAAACAGTGTTTTCAGCGTGAACAGTAAGGCGGTGAACAATGTTTCTAACAGTGAACAGTAAATTTAAAAAAATTTCTATAAAAAGGAGGCTTCACACGAAATTTTCATTTCTTCACTCGTATCCAAGGTTCTCAAAGGTACCAAGGCCATATACCACCATTTTCTCTCATATTAAATCTTCGTAAACTTAGATTTCTCTCCAGATTTGTGATTCTGCATCTATTCTAAGGAATTTGAAGTAAGTTTTGTTGTTTACAATCTCTAAACACTAGCAAGTGCATTAGGAATTGTAGCAAGTGATGAGTAATTTTTAAGATCAGAACATTGATAGTCATATTTTAGTACATCTTTCTCTCCATGTTTTTGGTTTAATTGAGCTTCATTAGTGCATTATTTGGATGTGTTAGTTTAGATTTGTCTTAGTAAGTAATTTAAGATTTAAATTTAAATCTTTCTTAATTCCCGCCATAATTTCTTATTTTGACACAATTTCTTGCAAAGACCATATCTGGAGCTACACTACTCGAAATTGGACAAAATTGGTGTCCCTGGAAAGATAAGACAGAGATCTACAACTTCTCTGTTGGGCGAAAAGCCTGGTTCGAGCATTTTCAGGTCCAAAATTGCGTCACAATGTTGCGGCCCTGCACTGAAATTTTCAGAATTTGATTGTATTGTTGATTTTACTTAGTTAGGTGTTTAGGAAACTCATTAGGGAGTTGGGTCTTAATTAAGCCCAATTATTTTGTCTTTTACTTAGTTAGGTGTTTAGGAAACTCATTAGGGAGTTGGGCCTTAATTAAGTCCAATTATTTTATCTTTAAATAGAGGTTATGACTCCATGTACGAATCCTTGTTTTTCTTTTCCCACAATTTTTCAGAATTCAAAAAGTCTTTATTTTAAATTCTTTCCTTTATTTTTGTCTCTCTACCTTCCATCTTTTCATATTTTCTGGTTTTGGCCGAAGCAAGCATGATCATGAAGCAAGGCTAATCCATCAATCGGTTCAAGGTTTCAAGAACAACATTGCATTTGAGTTTCGGGTTAGGTTCTATCGAATTCTCGCTCCTCCTCCTCTTTTCTGATTAGGATAATTACGTTTTTCATGATATTGATTTTTCGTTTGCATTCTAAATAGAGAATGAGAATTTCAGATTTGAAATAAATGAATTCATCTAATTCAATAAATTAATTGTTCTGAATTTCGTTAGAGCATTGGATTTGCGATTGCAGTTCTTGTTTTGATGGAATTCATAATCTAGATTTAGATTTTGGGTTATTAATGTCATATTGAATTAATGTTGATTGGAAATTTGTTGGAATTGTATTCGTGTAACAATGAGAATTGCGTTGTAGTTATTGAGATCTTGATTTGGTTGAATTTCATATTTCGTTTCGTTATAATTATTCTTTATTCTTTTCTTTTCTGCTGTTTACAATTTAATTCAAAACAATCCTTCCTTAAGCTAATATGAAATTACATGATGGAACCAGAAACATAATGTATCTTATGTCCTTGTGAGATGACCTAGGTTTACTCCTTCTATTGCAAAATTTTTAAGAAAATCTAGTTTGTTTGATACCATTGCGACGTGGTTATCAAACATCATCTCCACAGGGAATTAGGAAATCAATTATCACTTCACAGAACTATAACCATTTGAGCCATACGAAATTGGAAGATTTATAACATTCAGAAATCAAGAACAGGAATAATCAAAAGGTAAGAAACTTGTAGTAAAAATAGAGTATGAAAGTTGTGATTAGAATTGAATGAAGGATAGTTAGGAATTTATTTCACAAGAATGCCAATATCAATTCAATTATGCTTCTGAACATTCAAGCAATTGGTTAATTGACAATCAGTTTCTCTTATTAATAGCCAAAGTTTAATCCCTTAAATCATTGACCCTAACAAGCAACTAAACCACCCTAATCCCTTAGGCGAAGTTCAATTTCAAGTTGCATTAAGACTTTAGAACCGTAGGATTGTAGAATTAGGTTCCCTTATCCCTAAGAAATCCCTAATTCTGGTTGTTAGTTCAGATTTCATTGGCAAATGTTCCTCTTTGATTAATCATACGAATTTCCATTCAAAGATTACAATAACAACAGCATTAACAACTCAATTAATCCAAGAACTCAAATTTCAGAAGCAAAAGTCGAATCAATACATCAATTCAAGATCCATAAACTCCTAACTACAAAGAATTAAGCAAACATTGTAACAGAGAAAGAGAAAGAAGGAGAAGAAGAGAAGAATTGCAGAGAAGTCATCTCCATGAGCTCCAATCGAATGCCTCTTCTTGGAACTTCAAAATTCGACCCCAATCCTCTCTCTCACTTAACGAGAATTTAACAGAAAAAATGGAAAATGAACAAAAGACCTTGAGTTCTGAGCTAACAGGTATTTATAGAAATCCCGATTTTGTGCGTTGTCACTCTTGCTGATAAGAATGGCCACACAGAAGCTCATGTAGTTTCTGGAAACTGGAACTATCACTTTCACTGCTAAGAGTTGAAACGCAGGAGGTCGAGTGGTTGCGCGTGATCACTTTCGAGAGCCAGAGTGACCACGTACAACTTGCCTTGATACACTCCTCTCTGGAACATCCACTTTCGCTGATAAAAGTGGTAACACAGAGCTTGCTGAAATTTTGCTTCCTCTGTAACACTCACTTTCGCCAGCAAGAGTGTTAACACAGAGCTTGTTTTTCTGAGTAACCCTCTGGAACACTCACTTTCGTTGGTAAGAGTGACCACGCCCAGACTCTCTTTCTCTTTTAAGCTCTGGAACGATCACTTTTACTGGTAAAAGTGTTAACGCCCAATGTGTATTCTTCTTTGATGTCTGGAGTGATCACTTTCACTGACAATAGTGATCACGCCCAGCTTGCATTCCATTGTTCCTGTGTTTTGGAGTCCATAATTGCTATTCTTCCTCTTCCTTTCCCTTGATCTTCCATTTCCATGACTTTTGCTCAAATTATTCCTACAAAAACAAGATTAATTTTTTAAGATCTAAGCATAAATTTCACAAATGCTAAATAACTACATATTAAAAGAAAACTTTCAATCAGTCTATTTTTCTGAATTTTTCTGCTTTTCTTATATATTTTCCTTATCAAATGGGTTAGAAATACACTAAAATATTAGTAAAAATATGGATTCATCACTACCCCAAACTTGAATTTTTGCTTGTCCTCAAGAAAATCAAACTAAACCAAGGGTAATTCCTCCATTTTTCAAAATCAATTCACAAACTGCTTATTTCAGATTTTTCAACTTCCAATTTTGTGTTTTCTGCCAAATTTTCAATCAAATTGTTCATCCGAATACTCATCATGATCTTCATACTGCATAATCATCATTGAGTAAGAATTGTTATCTAAGTTCATATATTTCATCAAAATTCATGTGAGCACAATTAATAAACATAATCACAGCTCACTTGGAAGTGTTTCCCTCATCACTCAACAATATTTAGGTACTGTTTTCTCTCTAAATCATCAATTTAACTACACTCTACCATATGTTTGCCCATATTCTCAATTTTCTTTGCTTAATATAGTCAATCACACATCCAGAGAACTTTTTTAGGTTATAACAAGGCTAAGGTTAAGGTAGGTATTGAACAACATGGAAAACAATACATTCAATTTCAAAAGATCAAAGGGATTTTGAGTGAATGATTTTAAAACTAGCCTGGACTTGCATTATTTCTCATTATTTCTCTTAATTATGCAGCACACAGATTCTTTGTGCAGCAAGATTCCAATTTTTCTTCTTTCTTTCTTGCTTCCATTCACTATTTCCTTTTCCTGCAGCACTTTGCTGCATATTGCTATTTTCATCATCTTTGCTGCATATTTTTCATTTTTCTGCAGCTTTTTGCTATTTCTTTCTATCTTTGTGAACTCAAAACTTAGATAGCTTGCTATTCCCCACCCCAAACTTAGAACATTGCTTGTCCTTAAGCAATTAAAATATGGATGCCACCCCAAACTTAGTTTTAAAAGTCATTCTTGATTAAACTCACTATGCCTCTTTTCATTTGAATGGTAAAATTGGTTTTTTCAGCAAGGCTTACAATGAGGTATTAAGCTCAAAGGGGTGAACTAAGACAATCAAGCACAAAGGAGGTCATTTAGGCTAATTAGGCATATTCAAACAAGGCCTCCATCATATATGTGAAAACTGTAAATTGCATATTTAATCAAGAAACAAGTCAAGTTCTAGAGGGTGCAGCAAAATATGATTAATCACACATGCAAGAAAAATATGCAGCTCAAGTCTCACTAGGGGTTTATAAGTGAACATGCTAATCAATGAACTCATAATTCACTTTTTTAGAATTATATGTACCTAGTGGCAAGACTGCCTCATTTTGAAAATACAAGTGTGATCTCATTTTGAGAATGGGAAAAACAACTTAAAAAGAAAATTCAAACAAAATTCACAAAATTATCAATTAAACTTCATTTGATTCACAAAAAATAGTTTAATAGCTATTCTAGTATTTTGGTGTTTTTTAGAAACAATTCAGTGTGATGTGAAGCCAACACATGAACAAGAGGTAGAGAATGAAACCCCCTTTTTCATGGCAACTTGTGCAAGTGTGAGCATCCATTGTGTATGAGTGATGTGTGATTGTGACATTTTCTGCACAAAACACCAAAAATTTATCAATTAGCAAGTAAAAAGGCAATTAATTAGAAAGCTAACAGATATTCAAAACAGAGATGTGAAAATTAAACCAAAATGTACCAAATTGTAATTACAACCCCAAAAAGATTTGAAACTTAATTACAGAAATTTACAAAATTCCTAATGACAGAAAATAAATTCCTAAACTATTCATCTGCTGCATCCTCAGCATCTAAAGATTCTTCTTCCCTTTCTTCCTCATCTTCCTCCTCCACTACTTCTTCAGCTGGCTGTGGAAAATGGGTTTTGTAAATTGGCAGATCTTTAAACACAAAAGAGCGAAGGCATTGGGCATTTTCTGCCAATTCAGGAGTGTGGTACATTTCCTCTTTGGTCATTCCTATTTTCTGACCAATATTCAACATGATACACTCCAACAACATAACTCCAGCTTTAACACTACTGTGGAGTTCAGTTTGCCTCTCAGCTAGCTGGTTCTGCCTTTCACCCATGAGCTTCAAGGAGTCCTTCAACATCATAGGCTTCTCCTTTCTGTATTGAGAAGGAATGGGAGGTGCTGATGTGCAAGATGTGGTGGCATATATCTCTTTCACCAATCCTTTCTTGATATTCTCCAACTTCCACCCCTACATCTTCACAGAGTAGTGTGATTATCGAGGGAAAAGCCAGTGAATCCCTCTTTGTCTTCAGGATATTCAAGATGCACTTGCTGATAATTTCCCCTACATCTATGTACATGTCTGTGACTATGGCAAAAAGTAACTCAGCCCTCTTCATTGCCAATGTTGAGCTGTGTTTTACTGGCATGAAGGAATTCAGTATAAACATGCTCCACACTTTGGCAAAAGGCACCAAGTTTTTAGTGACTATGCACTTGGGCTTCTTAGCCTGGTTCAGCTTCCAGGTTGTTCCTAGCCTTCCAATCTTTTCCAGAATCTGCACATAGTCAATGTCAAGACTATTCTTGAATGCATTGAATTCTAGTTGTGCAGGCTGCTGTGCAGAATTTATGTTCAACACTCTATTTATGTTTGCAGGAGTGAAGTCCACTCTCATCCCCTTTACCATTGTGTTAAACTTAGGGAATTTGTCTCCTTTGAACCTCACAACATTGGTATAAAACTCCTCGGTTATTTCCCTCCAACCCATTCCAGCTAAGGAACAAAAGGATTCACAATCCCTCTTTTGAATTTCTTCCTTGTATTCTAGGTAATTGTCCCCAGCTATTTCAAAAGCTCTGTTTGGGACAATCTTTCTCCTTAGAATATTTGCCTTGAAGAAATTCTCATGGACAATACTTCTAAACCTTGGATCACATACTTCAATTGGTGAGGAAGCTGAGGCACCATTTGTCTGGCCTTCTTTGATTTAGGAGTGTTTCTAGTGGATCCAACTTGGATGTTTCAGTTGGATCTCCTCTTTGGAGTGTTGCTAGAAGATCCAGCCTGAGTCTTCCTGGAGGAGCCAACTAGTGTGTTTAAAGAGGTTTTGGCCATTTTTCAGTTTTTACAATGAATAACCAATTGGATATTTTTAATATTTTGGCAATGCTTAGAGGTGAAAGTATAACTTGCAGCTATAATTTTAATAGGTTATCATGCAATTTGTTGTCAGGTATTTTAATATGCAGATGCACAATATTGAGTAACCATAGTTAAAGATATTTCAAAATGATATCCCTAATATATTCAGAGTGCATACTTTCAGGGAGTATCAAGTACACGCAGAAGAATTATTACAGGTTATCAATTTATTTTTCAACAAACTTTGTAATTTCAGTATAAAAACTATTTTAGCAGAACAGGGTATGTCAATATTCAGATATAGAAGCACAGATGCACATAATTAATCAACCATATTCAGAGAATTTTTTAAATTGATATCCCTAATTTGTAAGTTCAGAGTGCACACTTTCTTAGAAAAATATGGTAATGCAGAGAGCTAAGTTCAGGTTTAAACTAATTTTCAACACAGTTATGCACTCACTGATTATCAGTAAAGAGTTATTGTATCACATTCATCCAGAACTGGTTTCAGAATCACAAATAATATCAGATAATCATATTCAAATATTTTCAATCCAACACTTACACAGAAGTCTATTTTAGACATATTGGATTCTGTAGAAATTTGGTTCAAATAGTATGCAATGTAGGGTCAACTTTCCTTAAAAGAAATATCATGAATGATAGTGAACACCTATTCAACATTTTGTCCATTCTATTGTTGAATCAAATAATATAAGAACAGTTCCCCTAATACCTATTTCTGAATTTTCCAAAACCTCAATCACAGAACACAATGCATAAGATAATTTCAGACATCAATTTCAACATCTTTCAACCAATACATTTTTATTAAAGTCTTTGTTTTTAGGTCACTAAACTTCTGCTGAAATTTAATCAGAGAGTTGGCACAATGCTGATTCTAATCTCCTAGAAAATTCATATGTAACAGAGAACTTATTCAGAGTGTTGTCCATTCTATTATTGAGTAAAAAATCATCAGAACAATGTCCCATTACCCCCTTTGACATTTTTCCCCAAAACATTAACACATAAAAACCTAGTCCACTTATTTCAGAGAAAGGAGAGTTGTGTACTTGGCGAGAAGGATGCAAAAATGTGGGGGAAAAGCTTGCTGCTGCTAGGTCAACACACAGGAAGATTGAAATCGCAAAGAACGCTCAGAGAGAAGGGGAATTTTTAGGTGCAAAGGTGTGTGCGTGTTCACTTTAGTTTATATTTATAGTCACGCGTGAGCAATTGACAACTTTAAACAAGAAAAGTGAACGTTACAGTATTTAAGATATTCAGCGTGGTTACTTTATTTGATTAGAGTGAGCGTTCCAAAGAGTTAAGTTTTCTGGGTAAAGGACGCGTTATCACTATTGCTGGACAAAGTGATAACACAAGCAATGTTGCAACTTTTTTTCACAAAAAGGAGTAATGCACATAAGAAAACTCATACTTGCTTGTGCGTAGCCACTTTGCCAGGGAAAGTGAGCGTTCCAGAGAGTATGTTTTCCTATCTGCCTCTGCGTGATCACTCTCATCAGTGAGAGTGAGTGTTACAGAGGAGCATGTTTACCTTGATGCCCTCTGTAACACCCAAATACCTATTGAGATCCTATTCTCTGAAAAATATATTTTAAGACTTTCCTAAGATGGTGTGCCCAAATGAACATGAATAAGGGATTATGCACTCGATATTACTGCGAGACTAAACAACAAATTCACAATTTAATTCATAAATAAGTGTACATTATCCTTTAATCCTTCATTCAGATTTGTTCTTCACCAAAACATGTATATTGAATTATGTTTTATTAGTATACTTAGAAATTTTGTTATTGTTCTACATTTCCTCAGATTAATTTCTTTTATGAAAAAAAAAAGAAGGTAAGCGCTCAACATCACATGCTTCGTGGAATAAAAATCTGAAATCATAATGGGAGACATGTAAATAGAAAGAAAATACGATTATATGTATATACGTCTCTAGTTCAAATGGTCCAAGGTAAAACCATCATGAACTGAACCAAAAAGAAAGAAACCCTACAGTTTGGTATTTCAAAAGTAATTAAAAACAGCCTAAAAAAAAAGAAAGTATAAAACTTAAGAGCAGTGTTCATCCATGACAAGGCAAAAATAACCATCTACAAATAAAACTCTGGTGGAAAGGAATCCTCAGTAGGGTCGGATTCCATTCCATCAGAATCAGGTGAATCATTCATGGGCTGAGGGCGAGGAGAGGGTGGTAGGTCATCCGGGTCGCTATCAATCCAACCAATGGTAGGCGGTGGCGATCTCGAGGTGGATAGCGGTGGCGGAGAAGGGTGTCGAGTGGAAGGTCCAGCTTCGTCGGAAGGGGGCGCCTGAATGTTGAGAGGTGCGGGCGCAGGAGCAGGGCTAGAACAGGGGCTAGGTTCGGGGTCAAGGTCAATGATAGTCTTACCTTTATCCACAAAAGTCTTAAGACGTTTGGCAGGAGGTTCTTGAGATGATGGAGAAGAGGGAGGTGTGTGAATGATGATACTCCGTTCTGGTGGTAGGGGCACCGAGATTTCGGTAAAAATGTTGTCCATCCAGTTGGGCTTCCATTCGCCTTCAGTGAGAGGTCTCGTGGACATGGAGACCATTCCCTGGTACATCAAGCGGGGCGTTTCTGGGTCGTAGATCCATCCCTCCTTTCCTCCCGAGTCCTCTCCCTAAATTCTTGCTTAGAGTGGGTCCATCTGCCATGCATTCATGCAACATACAACAACAGCAAGACAAGACGCAACACCAAAACAAAAACAGAACAGAAAGGGTGAGCTCAATACATTCCTTCATCAGAAATCGAATAAGCGAAAAAAATTAGCATAATACCAAAGAACCTACTGACTCATAGTTCAATAATCACATTATCATAACATAATGCTCATCAAACAGTCACAAAACGCAAGTAAAATAAATGAGTTCATCATAACATAATTATAACAAAGGTAATTAAAATGTCACTACTTCTTCCATTCATTTTCAACCTTTTCCCAGTCAAGATGATCGAAGGCCCTCATTCCCTACAAGAAATGGCCTTCCTAGGATCAAAGGTATGTTTGCATCCACCTCTATGTCCAGAATTATAAAATCTGCAGGAAAAATGAACTTGTCAACTTTAACCAATAAATCTTCAACAACTCCATATGGATAAGTGTATGATCTATCAGCTAGCTGTAGTGTGATGTTGGTAGGTTTCACTTCTTATATGCCTAGTGTCTTCATGATAGCTAAAGGCATCAAGTTAATGCTTGCTCCCAAGTCACACAATGCTCTTCCAACAGTGCACTGTCCTATTTCATAAGGAATGCTAAATGATCTTGGATCTTTAAGTTTTTGAGGAAGCTTTCTCTTGAGAATGGAACTACATTCCTCTGTCAAGGGTATGTTAATCTGTAATTTCTTAAAAACATTCAGAAACCTTTCAAATTGTTTCTCCTATTTAGGATTTTGGACCCTTTGAGGATAAGACAATTGTTACACAATTAGAGAACTAACTAGCAAGTGTACTAGGTAGTTGTAACAAGTAATAAAATTTAGAATTCAATATGAGCCCCAAGTATCATCCACAAGGATCTTATTTCAATTACCACTTCACAATTTAACAATTAGTTGAACAAAACAATTCATTGAGAGGTTTATAACATGTAAAAATAAGAAATAAGAACAATAAAAGGTAATGGAATTGCTGTAAAAATAGAATACGAAATTTGTATTAAGAATATTATGTGGAAAATAGTTAGGAATCACTTCACCAGATTTTCAATTGCAATATAATCATGTTCTGAACTCTTGATTTAAAGTCAACAATCATTAGGATCTAGGACCAAATGGTGAAATAATTTATTTAAAACTTCACAGTTAACAGTAAAGACTTGATTTAAAAGAAAGTGGTTCATTGGTTGTCGGTAGGGTAAAAACCAAAAAGGAAAATAAGTTCTTTATTCAATTATCACTCTAAAAGACGTGGACAAAAAGGAATCAAGTGGTTTTTACAAAAGAATGACATGAAAAGAGGTAGAATAATAGGGATCGAAAAGAAAGCATGCAATCTATACAAGAACATAACATGCAATAGCATACGATTTCAAAGATATCATTTTTATTTAGTAAAAAGGCAAGAACAACCAAGAATGATGGGAGTATTTCAACATCAACGACATGCAAGATCATCTCGACCATGATCGAGTTCATGCAAGCCATAAAAATGTGATTTTTACAATCTCTATACACTAGCAAGTGCACTAGGAATTGCAGCAAGTAATGAGTAATTTTTAAAATCAAAATATTGTCTCCACAGGGAATTAGGAAATCAATTATCTTCACAGAACTATAACCATTTGAGCCATGCGAAATTGGAAGATTTGTAACATTCAGAAGTCAAGAACATGAACAATCAAAAGATAAGAAACTTGCAGTAAAAGAGAGTATGAAAGTTGTGATTAGAAATAAATGAAGGATAGTTAGGAATTTATTTCACAAGAATGTCAATATCAATTCAATTATGCCTCTGAACATTCAAGCAATTGGTTAATTTCCAATCACAGCTCTTATTAATAGTCAAAGTTTAATTCCTTAAATCATTGACCTAACAAGCAACTAAACCCCCCTAATCCCTTAGGTGAAGTTCAATTTCAAGTTGCATTAAGACTTAGAACCGTAGGATTGCAGTATTAGGTCTCCTTATCCCTAAGAAATCCCCAATTCTGATTGCTAACTCAGATCAGAGAAGCAAATCCAACTTCCATTGGTAAATATTCCTCTTTGATTAACCATACGAATTTCCATTCATAGAGTGCAATAACAGCAGAATTAAAAATTCAATTAATCCAAGAACTCAAATTTCAAAAGCAAACGTCGAATCAGTACATCAATTCAAGTTCCATAAACTCCTAACTATGAAGAATTAAGCACACATTGCAACAGAGAAAAAGAAAGAAGGAGAAGAAGAGAAGAAATGCAGAGAAGCCATCTCCACGAGCTCCAATCCAGTGCCTCTTCTTGGATCTTCGAAATTCAACCCCAATCCTCTCTCTCTCACTCTCTCAGCGAGAATCTAATAGAAAAATGAAAAATGAACAAAAGACCCCTAGCTCTGAGCTTAAAACAGGTATTTATAGACATCTCGATTTTGATTTTGTGCGTTATCACTCTTGCTGATAAGAGTGGCCACGCAGAAGCTCATGTAGTTTTTGGAAACTGGAACTATCACTTTCGCTAGTAAAAGTTGCAACGCAGGAGGTCGAGTGGTTGCGCGTTATCACTTTCGAGAGCAAGAGTGACCACGCATAACTTGCCTTGATACACTCCTCTCTGGAACACCCACTTTCGCTGGTAAGAGTGGTAACGCAGAGCTTGCTAAAATTTTCCCTTCTCTGGAACACTCACTTTCGCCAGCAAGAGTGTTAACGCAGAGCTTGTTCTTCTGAGTAACTCTCTGGAACACTCACTTTCGCTAGTAAGAGTGACCATGCCCAGACTCCCTTTTTCTTTTAAGCTCTGGAATGACCACTTTCACTGGTAGAAGTGTTAACGCCCAGTGTGTATTCCTCTTTGATGTCTGGAGTGATCACTTTCACTGACAATAGTGATCACGCCCAGCTTGCATTCCATTATTCTTGTGTTTTGGAGTACAGAATTGCTATTCTTCCTCTTCTTTTCCATTGATCTTCCATTTCCATAACTTTTGCTCAGATTATTCCTACAAAAACAAGATTAATTTCTTAAGATCTAAGTAGAAATTTCACAAATGCTAAAATAACTACATATTAAAAGAAAACTTTCAATCATTTTATTTTTCTAAATTTTTCTGCTTTTCTTATATATTTTCCTTATCAAATAGGTTAGAAATACACTAAAATATTAGTAAAAATATGGATTCATCACTACCCCAAAATTGAATTTTTGATTGTCCTGAAGCAAATCAAACTAAATGTTACACAATTGGAGAACTAACTAGCAAGTGTACTAGGTAGTTGTAGCAAGTAATAAAATTTAGAATTCAATATCGTCCACAAGGATCTTATTTCAATTACCACTTCACAATTTAACAATTAGTTGAACAAAACAATTCATTGAGAGGTTTATAACATGTAAAAATAAGAAATAAGAACAATAAAAGGTAATGGAATTGCTGTAAAAACAGAATCAAAATTTGTATTAAGAATATTATGTGGAAAATAGTTAGGAATCACTTCACCAGATTTTCAATTGCAATATAATCATGTTCTGAACTCTTGAGAATTTTAATTGATTGCTAATCAATTTCACTTCTTTAACCAAAGGACAATTCTTTGCCTCATTGATCCTAATACCTAATTAAACCTCCCTAATCCCTTAGGTAAAATTTAATCAAATACTGCATTAAGTTCTGAAAATTATAGGATTACTAGATCATGATACTTATTCCTAAGATCTCAATAACCTAGGCATATCATTCAGATATGAGAAATAAACTCAATTTCCATTGATAAAAATTCCTCTAAATTCAATTGAATGAAGGATTAGTTCACAACTACATTAAGAACAGAATCACATACTCAATTCAATTAAAATCTCAAGATTCAATCCACAATTGCATCACAACATCAAATCTGGATCCATAAATCCCTAATCAAAAAGGTTTAGAACAACGTTAGAATGGAGAAAGGAAAAGTAAGAGAAGAAGAAGACAAGAAGCAGAAGAACATCTTCCAAGACCCAATCTTCACTCTGATTCCTCTAGAAATGAAGCTTAAAAGTCACTCCCAATCTCCCTCTCTGACTTCCCTTGGAAGTGAAAATAGTTACAAAGTGGAAAATAACAAAAATGAATAAAAGTCCCTTTTTCTGAACCTTCAACTTCTATTTATATGGTATTTCCCGCCTTTTGCTTTTCTACATGTTAATCTCTGAGAATTCTAGCATCAAAGGTCTTCTAAAAGCTTCTAAAATTGATTTAAGAACTCCAATCATCCAAAGTTGACACTTAGAAGTGATATTTAAAATACTGTTATTTTTGCGTAGCTACTCTGAGCACTTGAAGTAGGTATGCGCAGACTGCGTAGCTACACTGGGCACTTGAAGTAGCTACGCGCACTGTGCAATTCTGAATTAGCCTTGGGCGTAGCTTCTCTGAACGCTTGAAGTGGCTACGCGCTCTGTGTAGCTACTCTGGGTACTTGAAGTGGCTACGAGCATGTTTGCATAGCTACTCTAAAAACTTGAAGTAGCTACTCTGATGATCTTCATGAATTTTCTTCTTCAAAGTGTTCACTCTATGTACTCAAAGTGATTACACCCTTCATATAACACTTGATTCTTCATCTTTTAAGCTCAATTCCTCTACTTTCTTCACTTTAATCTTCAACTCAAATTCTCAGCTCAAGCTTCTACGCAAGGATTAAGTCACTTTTGAGTTAAATTGTTCAGAATTGGACTAAAATATAAAATTCTAAACTATTTATACAATTATGAATATTAATGCAATTTTTATGATATTTTCAAGTTTACTGAGCACTTTACTACTTATTTCTTGACAAAATCATACTAAAAATTATGGTAAAATGTGGATTTATCATTATGCTTTTGGTCTATTTTGCTCCCTTTTTGCTTAGCAGCTAAG